TCCATATAAAGTAGACCTAAATTCGAGATCTACAACTCCAGATATGATCCAATTACCAAACAGTTTTCCGGTTTGGACTGCATCGGCATCTCTATTTTAAGTTTGGTCATATCTTTGTCCTTTCAATTTCAATTCTTAAATTCATCAATCAATCCTTTCATTTATGTGATAGGCCTGCATTTAAAATGAATATTTACCATAAATTAAAGTTATCTTATATTATTAGATATGTTATTATAAAACATGCTTTAGTTAAGGAGTTATTGATACTTCAAGTGCAAAATGATGATATAAAACCTTGATAAAAATACACTTTTAAGTACTAATAAGTTTTATAATAGCATATTATATTGTTTTATTATTTTTTATATTTGTGTAAGTGTATTTCAGGTTTGTCAGTGTTTGTTGTTTTATGTGATGTTGTCTATACTTTATCCTTTTACCTTAGGACATTAAGAATAATGTCTCGTTTTGATTGGATAATGGGATAGCAGTTGAAATTAAAAAAAAAACTAACTAATTATTTTTGCTCTTATTAAAATTATTTGACAAAACTATTATTAGGATAGTAGAGTAAAGAGAAATTCTATCGATTCTTGATATGCATCTTAGTAAATATTTTTATCAGGGTCTATCATAACACTTCTTGAAATATTCAGATTTACTAACTCTCACTTCGTTATCACTTGATTTTGCTCATATACTCATTTAACAAGTATTCTCAAACCTTTATTTTCACACACACACACTTTAACATATGATTATGGGTTGTATATTGAATTATTATATTATTTATGTTCTTTTGCTAAAGAAAACAATTAAAAAAAATTGATAGTATATAATTTGAAAAAAAAAAAATTGATAATATTAATGATAATAAAAACGTAAATAAATTTGGTTTTGTAGCTTCCCTAACCTAAGTAATTAAGTCCAAATGGGTGTTTTAATACATAATACCTTAAAATCAACTGATTTAGAAACTATTAGCCTAGTACATGAGTTAAGGAGAAAAGCTTAAGGGAAATAAACATTGGACTACAACTCGAGTTATTAAGCTATAAGAGGTGTCTCAACACCTAATGAACTAAAACCAACTAGTTTGGAAGTCATTAGCCTAAAGCTTGTTATATAGATTAAAAATTTTTGTGTTTTAAGTTATATGAATATAATAATAATAATAATAATATAATAATAATAATAATCTCAACCCAAGAAAGTTAACCTTAAATATTAGAACAAAATTTTATTTTCATCCAAACAAAACCTCATAGGTATTGATAAATTGAGTATAAAAGGTTTATTAATATCTTATTTAAAAAGTATGAAGTAAATATATAAATTTAATGAGAATTTCTTTATTTGGATAGAGTAATAGAAGTTGAATGATAAATACATTACTTTTTGAATTTTATACATTGGTTTTCTATTTTAACGCTTTAATTACTAAAAACTAATAATAAGCTGGTTAGGTGGTATGATTAGTACTTAAAAGTATATTTTCATTAAGGTTTTATATTATCATATTGTACTTAAAGTATCATTAAATTCCCTAACTTAAGCATATTTCATAATAAAAAGTCTGATAATATAAGATATCCTATATCTTATTCTAAGTGCAAGAGTGTCAAAGTAATAAATAATCGGGTAAGACTAAGGTCAAACCATAGAGAGGTGAACTATATAAAATTATAAACAATAAAGAAAAATAAGTTGAAGAGAACTTTTGAGATGTGATATTGACATAAGGATTAAATAAGGATAAAACAATTATCAAGATTAGGGGATTGACTAATGATATTTCAAATAATTATAGTATAAATTATTTTTATTACTCAACTAGAAACCACACACAAAGAAAGTTTCAATCAGATTATAAATTATTAACATGATTATATTAATTATCTTATTTGATTAACATCAATACTTGTAAATGTGGTTAAGTATTCATGGTGATAACTTATGTTAACAATAAATCAAATTCTTTTCATAATACAAGTATCAGTACCATACAATAAACTATGATAGTGTCAAGTATTTGTTGTACAACACAAATTTAAATTAATCATTTAACAAACAAGATATTAAGAGTGAGTAAGTTAATAAATATAAAATATGTTAGTATCAAATATTAAAATTCATGTTGAGTTTATATTATACTTATTTTTATACCATTAATGTACCTTTTTCACATTAAAAAATTAACTTAGTTAAACATAATAAAGAAGAGAAACATAAATAAATAAAATAAAAATATAATAATAATATACATTAACTAAGTAAAGAAAATGAAATAAAAAATATAAACAAGAGATTAATATAACATAAAATAAAACTTGAACATTAAAATACAAAGAGAGAGAATAATCTTGATCTAAACGCCAAGATGCCTAAATATATAACAAATACCTCCTTTTATATGCTAAAATTTAAAACTATTGTTTTGATAACTAATTATTATGTGGGTAGCCACCTCTTGACTTTGTGACAACCCTTATCTTTTTGTATGAACAAAACGTTATTGCTAACATTAGAATTTAAACAGATAGTCGTCAAGAAATTTCTGAAAATTTATCTTAGCTTTCAAACAAAACAAAAAAAGAATAAGCTCATATAATTTCTAGAATTCAAGATATAGGCTGAACATTAAACAGTGTTTAGGTGACAAGACAAATTCAGACTTCTTTTTTAATGCTAAAAATTAGATTTCTAAATGATAGAATTGAATCTTATACTCTCATAAATATTTTATGTCTATATTTTAGCTTTCTAATTATATAAACTAAACTGAAATCTAAAATTTACAACTTTAGATATGACTCAATGATTGAATATTATTTTAATATGAATTGAATTAACATTTTTTTTTTAAAAATAGTTTTTTATTTGTCTTTTCACTTTTAATAGTTAATCACATCAATCAATTTTTTACATTGTAAAATACATCTACCATTAAAATGAATATTTAATATAAATTAAAATTATTTTATATTATTATATTTATTATTATAAAATATGTTTAAGTTAGAGAATTTAATAATGCTTTAAATATAATACGATAATATAAAATTTTAATAAAAATATAATTTTAAATATTAATTATTATAAAAAAAATTTAAAATTTTTTTATTGGGTTGCAGGAAACTTTCTGGAGTGGTGCCTTCTGAGACAGCCAATTATAAAACGAATTAAGGCCATCATCTAGCTATGATCTCATAGATGACTCTTAGGCTTGGCAATGGTTCCTTTACCTCTTCGTTTGAAATAACAGCAACTCGATACCAAGTTTGCTATCACAAGCAAAGTGCCATGCCTAGAGCGGCGGTAATACACTGGGTGCATCATTGGACGCTTCATTGAGTGAGGCAGCAAGGTATTCTGCAAGGCTTAGTCCAGAAGTGGACTTGTTAGAAGACTCTGCAACGCTTGATTTCTTCATTCTAATTGCTTGTAGAAGCCAGGAATTTGAAGAGCCAGGTCCATTCAAATTATTCCCCCAATCATCCAGCCCACTCCACAAAACAGGTTCTAGATGCTGCAATGGATCTTCAACCATCGAGTTGTCATAAAAACATTTTGGCCCCGTGCTTCATTTGGTGCAAAGCCACGAGAATGACAACCTCGTCCTCTTCCACTACTCTGTCCAATACCTGAACTGCTATGCCAGTTCCTCTGGCCAGTCTGAAATAGCTGGACTCCATAACATGAAACAGGGGACGGGCTGCTCCCTACTGGGCCAAAGCCAGGATTCCCTTGACGAATGGGATATGGACTGGACAGTCCTCCGTGAAGAGTAGAGCCAAAATAGCTCGCTGGGCCACCTGGTCCACTTCACATTTCAGGAGGAGCTCCTTGATTCATCGGAAAATGATCAAAAAACCCTCTCGGGCTTCAATAGGAAGCAACTTTGTGATATGGACCTTGCCCTCGATACATTCTCTGGTTGGGTAAATGATTGCTCTGCATTTGATTCGCATGTGGATAGCTGTTTTGCGTTTGATAAGCATGAGAGGGAGTCACTTCAAGATTCCTTTGACCTGGGGTCCCAAGAAGCGGATAAGCAAGCAAACCTGGCGGAGCAGAAGTTTCAACGTTATTAGAAGTTTCAGCCTGTGCAGCAGCTATTGAGCGCATGGCTTTCAATCTTTCCCTTCTTTTTTCTGAATCCTCCATTTAACCTAAGAGAGAATAAACATCCTACTGGTTATAATTATTAGTTTTAAAAAGAAGACTTTTCCCATTAAACCCTAAAATGATCAATTAGCCAAACGAAACCAAAATTTTAAACAGAAATAATGCTTTGTAAACAAATAGCTAAATCCCAATGAAATTCAAAAGTAATCTCAATCACAAAGAAGAAGAAGAAGATATCTATACAAAAATTCTCAAAATAGGAGACTAGTACCTGAAATTGAGAGCTCTTACTGTTGCTAATAAACCCTAAAAACGAGAGATTGTGGCTCTAGAGGCCGTGTCATTTAATTATTAATTTCAAATGATTTAAAATACTATTTTTTAAAATTATTTTAATATTAAAATGAAAACATTAAAAAAATTAAAATTAATTTAAAAATACAAAAATAATCAAACTCTTGAATATGGTTTTCATATTTTAAAAGTAAATGGTTGTTGGTTTTTTAAAATTAATTTAGTGCTTGTTTTCAAAATATTTTTATTTAAAAATATATTAAATAATAATTCTTATTTTTTAAATTAATATATTTAAGTATTTAAAATTTTTTTAAAAAATTAAAACTAATCTAAAAAATATTAAACAAATATCAAACAGACCAAGGAGCAGTGTTTTTCTCGGCGGGCGGGTTTCGGTCGGGCAGTTAAGAACCTGTTCCGCTGAAAATGGATTTGAAAGCCCAATCTAATTTAGAAGTGGATCTGTGCATTCCAATAAGGAATTAGGATTACTGGTCGTCGGCTGGGCCCATTTTGGACAGATGTTTTGAGATTGATTTTGTCGAAGAAATATCTGTAAAACCCTCTAATCGAACGGCTATGATTACTCACACCTACCAAAACAAACTGTCCATGCGAGTTTCTTTTTGCCAAAAAATCGCAGCCGGTATCCATTGCAGAAACTACCCAACTGCCTCACACCACTTGTTTTGCCATCTACAAAGTAGAAGAAAGCAGCAAAATCATCGTTTGATCGAAGCTTATTATCACACTTGTTCTTGCAATCTTCTGGAGACCAAACACAAACTCTGAGAGCGATTAAGTATACTAACCATGCCCACCAACGAAGGATTCTCAGGTACATGTATTTTCTTGAGCTCTTGGGTTTCTTTGAGAGCTCTTTTTTTTTCCTAGGTTTGTGTGTATGAGGGATACTGTTGTAATAAGCTGGTTATTTAATTTAATTTAATTTCTAGGTTTGGTTTTTTTGAAAGTTAAATTTTGTATTTTAAAAAAAAAAAATTATCTAAAGTAAAATGCTGCTTATAATTAAATACAATTTTGGAGAGAATATCCTTAGTCTTATTTAATAATAAAAGAAATGAAATGTTGATTATACTATTCTTGAGGAAGGCCATTGGCTGCTGGCGTTATTTTAAAGTTTTTGGTAAGCTGAACTAATTGTACTTCTTGATAAATTAAGATTATACATATAGGTAGGTAAATTATTGGTTAGTGAGACATTTTACTGAATATGTTCATGTAATGTGAGAGGCTTATATTTTGTTTTTTCATATTTCTTTCAGGTGTATCCAATTGCTATGTGTTCAAGAGTAGATTGCAGGAGTATGCACAAAAGGCAGGCTTGCCTACTCCTGTATATGAGACAATCAAAGAAGGCCCTTCTCATGAGCCATCATTCAGGTCGACAGTGATTGTGAAGGAAGTTAGATATGATTCTTTACCTGGTTTTTTCAATCGGAAGGCGGCAGAGCAATCGGCTGCTGAGGTTGCTCTTGTGGAGTTGGCTAAAGCTGGCCAAATTAATGAATCCACTTCTCAACCTGTTGTAAGTTCATATACTACCAAATAACGAATCTTCTATCTTCCTTTCGGTTCATAATATTATGTACCATCTGATATAACATAAAAGTTCATTCCTTTGATTCACTCTTTATGTTATAAAGATTTTTAAAGCTGGGACTTTAGATTTGAAGTTGTGTTAAGCATGCTTCTACTTCACTGATAGTTAATTTTGTAGCATAAAAGACCTTGACTGGACTTTTTGAAGGCGCAATTTTCCCTAGCAGCTTTAATGCAACTAAATATTAGGGTAGCCCTTGTCATTCCAATTGTTACTTTTTTGTCTTCTGGTTTTTTAATGGACTTATTCCTTGATCGTTAAATTCTTTTGGCTTTTGCAACTGCTTGTCTCATTGATGAAGTTATTGCTTTATCGTGTGTAATCTGAGTTGGTAATTATTGTTGCTCTTGAACTATTTTTCCCAAAACAAGGCAGTTGAAAACTCTTTTACCATAATATAGTAGTTTAAATTGTATTTACCAAACTGCGATATTTTTTGCCACATAGGCTCTATCATATGTACATGTCGTGTTTGTGTTTTTTTGGCCTAAAGAAAAATCTTCTATAAAAGAAAATATTATTTTTTGAGTAGGAAGTCTATTTTTGTCTTCCATTTCTCAAATTCAAATCATCTTTCAATCCAGAAAGGATGTGTTCATCAGCTAATGGCTATTAAGTTGAAATAAAATCTAACATCTTTTCTTCTCTTTTTAGTCCCTTTTCCCTAAGAACCACTGAGTTTGTTTGTAATGAGAAATTGTGGATCTCTACTTTACTTGAAGTGATTTGAGTTGTATTAGATTTGTGTGTTAACTATTGATGGATACCATTTGATCTGTTAAAAGATATTTTCAATTGCTAAGTTGTCAATGAAAAAAATGTAGACATTACTTTTGAAAAAATATTCATAAATCAGTTATGGTTGGGACTTGATAAAGTTCTAGATTTAGAATTCCAAAATATTTCTAGGCTTAGGAATTGACAAGTTACAAAAATTAGGATCTATCTTTTGCATTCAATTTATTTGTTAAATTTCCCTAATGAATAGAGATTGTATTTTAGTTTGTGTTTTTTTGTAGAAGAGATATGGGGAAAGGAGTTAGATTCTATTCTAACTTGTTTTAGTGAAATGGAAAACAAAACTTTTGGTGAAATTAAAAGATAAAATAGAAAATAAAAACAAAGAATAAAAAGTTAAATACATGCTATAAGGAACCAAGTGAAGAACTGGAGAGATTAAGGTGAAATTTTATATTATTAAATTGCATTAAATGTACCTTTATCTCTTTAATCCACATAAATAATAATTAGATGTTCTTATGCTTATATGGAAAAAACTACCTTATTTTAGGAAATAGGTTTAAAACTACCATGTTTTGAGAAATAAGATTTAAAATTACCCTTATCTGGAAAAAAAACTGAACTATTCATAGTGCTCTTTGGTGTTTTTCTCACATTTGATCATGATTTTTTTTCCTCTACAGCATGAAACAGGATTATGCAAGAATCTACTTCAGGAGTATGCACAAAAGATGAATTATGCAATTCCTTTATATGAGTGCCAAAAGGATGAAACACCAGGTCGAGGGCTTGTTTTTAAATGTACTGTTGAGATTGGGGGGATTCGGTATATTGGAGCATCAGCAAAAACCAAAAAAGAATCGGAGATCAAAGCTGCTAGAACTGCTTTGTTAGCAATCCAATCGAGTGGATCTGATAAACCAAGTGGCAACTCTCAATTAACGGTAATTCCATGTAGAAAAAGGGGAGTTGAGACTAGTGTTCAAGAGGAGATGGCAAATATTCCCAAGCCTAAGAAGGCCCGGTTTAAAAAGAAAAGGTTGAAAAACAAGCTCTCCGGGGACAGGATAGACAATGCTCAAAGTGAACTTACTGAACACTTGGATACTATGGATGGTCAATCTGGATCAGAAACAGATCAAACTGATGGTTCCATCATTCGAGGAGCAAATTGCAAACCTCTAGCAATGGGAACAACGATGACTGCCCATGATGGAAAGCCTGATACTGACTTGAATGAAAGAGAAACTTCTGATACTAAAGGTGCTTTGACTTCGAATGACTCTGGTTATCCTGGAAGTGGACAGTCAGCATCTCCAAATTTTAATCAAAGCAATCATGGGACTGGTGCGGAAATATCAGCTGAGTCTAATGCTGGAACAGGTAAGGTTACTGGAATTATAGAGGCTACTTCAATGGCAAACAATCCTGTGCTCAAATAGATAGGGGCTTCAAATGCTTAAAAAACTACAGAGAGAGAATTGAGATTAATGCGAGCCAAGAGTAGGACAAACTGGAAATATATTGGGTTTTAGTTGCAGTTGCGTGAAGTTGGTATTTTGAGATTATAGGTGTAGAACTAGAAGGTACTGAGAGTATCAATAGATTAACACTACGAAAATTTCAGGTACACTGGTTGATTAAATTGTCCAAAAATATTGGATTAGACATGGAAATGTGATAACAATATCTGGCATCCTTACCGCTGCTCGATCTGTGTGGATGTACCTTTGCGGGGTGAGTGGTTCTATGAAGCATTTCTATTCTCCCTAGGTATCTGGATTTCATCTGCTCGAATTGTTTTGGTAAATGCTTGGAATAACCCCCGCACGAGGCCCCACACAATTTTCAAAATTGTTTTTTTGAAACTAAAAAAAATATTTATACAAATTTCAATAATATATTTTATGGGAAAATAAATTATTTTCCTATTAAAATTTATATTTCTTATTTATGAATTTTTTATTTTTATGGAACAATGAATATTTTTTAATTATTAGTGATAGATCATAGAGTTGATCATAAAGTTGTATTATTTTAAATGTAGAAGTGTCAAAATAATAAATAACCCAATAAAATTAAGCTTGAATTACAGGGAGGTGAATTATAATAATAATAACAATAATGATGATATTGATAATGATGAGTTAAAGAGAATTTTGAAAAATAAAATTAATATAAAGATTAAATATGATAAAAACAAATATTAAAGTTAAAGGATTTACTAATGGTATTAAAAATAAGTAAAGTATAAACTCTTTATAAATTATTAACATGATCATATTAATTATTTTTATTTATGTAATATTATATTTATAAATTTTATTAGGTATTCATAACGTTAACAAATCAAGTTTCTTTTATAACAATGATGTCGGCTGAAAATTATGAAGGATTAAGTATTTGATGTACCAAATAGTGTACAACACAAATCTAAATTAATTATTTAATAGGTATAATATTAAGAATTAATAAGAAAAAATAATAATAATAGCAAATTGTTTAGGATATAAGTACTGAAGGTTATATTGAGTTTATATTATATTTATTATAACACCATTAGTGAAATTTTTTTATTTTGATATGATAAACTTAGTTAAATATTATGAAGAAGAAAAACATAAATAAACAATATAAAAATATAAATATGATATAAGTTAACTAGGTATAGTAAAAGAAATGAAAAGCATAAATAAGAGATTAATGAAAACAAAACTTAAGCATTACAAAAATATAAATAGAGAGATAACATAAATATGATCTTGATTTGAAAACCAAGATACATTAATGAATGACAAATACCTCCTTTTATATGCTAAAATTCAAAACTATTCATTTGGTAATTAATTATTGATATAGTGGATTCAAAACTATTCGTTTGATAATTAATTATTGATGTAGTGGCCAACTATTAATTTAGTGGACTTAGTGGGCAACAGCACTAAAGCATTTTGGCTGGATGAAATGATATTAATGCAATTGAGCAACGTGTTCTTCATGAAAGTTGTTGGAAATTGTCTTTTTCTTTCACCTACCAAATTTTAGAGTATTTGGATCGCTACAACTCGAAATATGTCTAAAATACCGAGTAGTGCTTCTGGTGGACGTGGTGGATAGCCCTCAACCTCTTGTTTAGATACAATATCATTACTAGCATCAGAATTATAAGTCTTCTTCATCAAAGTTATTGGAAATTGTCTTATCCTTCCATTAACCAAATTTCACATCATTTTGCCTTTTAGAACTTGAGTTATGGTTAAAATTCTGAGCAGTGTTTAAATTGTTTAAACAGTTTTTAAAGGACCAATTATAACCCATACTCACAAACATACAGCCCTAGTTGGAGAACTCATCACAATTTTAGTTGGAAGAGTGACAATGCATAAACTTCACCACCACAGTTTCTAGCACACCATAATTTCTAAAATTCTCATGGATATGCGTCTTCTTATGCTCCACCTCTTAGCATAATTTTCAAAATTCTCATGGATATGCACCTTCTTATGCTCCACCTCTTAGAAGAAATTTTGAGGAAACTTTGTATGCATTCATTGAAAAGCAAGAGACAATCAACACTTACTTGCTCAAAACATAACATATTTTAAAGATACTCTTGCAAAATTCACATCTGCTCTCAGTTTTCAAGAGAAAGGTAAGTTTCCATCTCAACCATAACAAAATCCTAAGGGGCAATACAATGCAAATGTAAGTAGTTCTAGAAATCAACACATATATCAAGTCAAATCATTCATCACTCTTCGTAGTGGTAAGGTTATTTAAAAACCAATTCTTAAATCTTGTGAGAAAGATGATGAGTCAATCTTTAAGGGTAAGGAAGGGGTTGAATCTGAATATTGCAAAGAAAGACTGATTCCCCACCGGTACTTCCATTTCCTCATGCTATGACCAATCAGAAAGAAATCGAGGATGAAAAAGGCACCTAAAATATTGATGTGGATCTTTTATCAAAAGTGACAATAGATTCGACACCCTGTCACACCAATCGATGATTACTTTCCTAATGAATCTCTACTTTCTCTTATTTTAATGCTTTGGTTTGCTAAAAATATCAATTGTTTTTGCTTTCAGATTTTTTTCAACTCACTAGAGTATCGAAGACAAGAAAAGTTTTGAGCAACATGCAATTTTTTTATTGGGATGACCCTTACCTATTCAATTATTATCCTGATCAAATATTTCAAAGATGCATTCCCGACAATGAGGTAAGTAATGTCATTAAATTTTTTTCACTCTAAGGCACGTGGGGATCATTTCTCATCACAAAAGAGGATTGTAAAAATCTTACAAAGTGAATTTTACTGGCCCACCATATTCAAGGAATCACATGCATTCCGCAAAACCTATAGAAATTGTAAAAAGTTGGGATTTATTTCAAAACATAGAGAGTCTTTAGATAATCTTCTATTGACTCTTAAGTTTATCATAGTCGAGATAAGCATCGTGCAATTCATGACCTATGAACCCATATTCATAAAACACATGCTTGGCATAGTCTTGAAAATCTGACTAAAAAAAACCATATTTGTCATTTTTTAAGAAAATTGGATGGGAAGCCTATCCACGACCCATATAGGGCGTTTAAGCTGTTCTTGAACGTAAAACCAAGAGAAGATATGAGCCACAATCATAGAGACTCTAGCTGGCCTACATATAGGTGGTATGATTGCCCTTTAATTTCTCATCTATAAAATCCTCTCTTCCTTCCCTTCATTCTACTCAACCCATACATTTAACAAATATAGAAGTGTGTAGAAATGACAAGTTCCTCAAGTCATCACATAAGAAATATTTGTGTTTTCAGTGGATCTAATCCTGAGAAAGAAAAGGAGTTTTTAGAATCAGCAAATCTTCTAGGTCAAGTGCTAGTTGAGAGAAAGATTTATTTAATGTATAGGGGAAGCAGTCTTGGGTTAATGGGAGGTGTGTCAATAGCTGTATTTTTAAGAGATAGTCAAGTTTTAGAGGTCGTCCCCGAAGCTTTAACACAAGGGGACATCATTAGAAAAACAATTAGAGAATAACTACAAGTCTCCATAATATCTACTTGAATGAACATAATGTTTAATCATGTTGATGCCTTTATTGCCTTACCAGGTGGTCTGGACACATTGGAAGAGATCTTTCATATTTCCTTTTGGACCCAACTACACATTCACCATAAACTCATAGGTCTGTTAAATGTTAATGGTTATTATGATAAGTTGTTATCATTTCTTGATCATGTTGTGGAACAAGAATTTCTAACATCTTCTACACAACAAGTCATAATCTCTACTGATACTGCTGAACAACTGATTGACCAACTACAATCTTTCATTCCTGTAATTGATCCCTCCATGAGACGCATAAATTGGTCATCTACAGAAAATAGTAAAAAGCTTATATTGAATTTAAGTTTTCATTTGTGAATCTTTATGTCTTTCACTTTTATTATTATGTTTTGTTGTTTCTTATATTTGTTTAAATGTGTTTTAGGTTTGTTAGTGTTTGTTATTTCAGGTGATGTCTTCTATACTCTATCTTTCTACCTTAGAACATTGAGGACAATGTCTTATTTTAGTTGGGGGGAAGGTAGTAATTGACAAAAAAAAAACTAATTGTGTTTTCTATTTCATAAAACATTTGCAAAATTGTTGTTACTAGCATGGGAGAGTAAATGAATTCTTTTGTTAAAGTGAATCTTGAGATGCATCTTAGTAACCATTCTTAACAAGGTTTATTATAATACTTCTTAAAATATTCAGGTTTACAAACTCTCATATTATTATCACTTAATTCTGCTCATATACTCATTTAACATGTATTCTTTTAGTTTTCACACACACACTTTAACATATGATTGTGGATTGCACATTGGATTATTATATTATTTATGTTCTTTTATTAAAGGTAACAACTAAAGGAAAGGGATAGTATAAAATTTGAAAAAAAAAACAAAAAAAGAGCAAAAATAAAATAAAAATAAAATGATAATAATAAAAATATAGATAAGTTTGGTCCTCCCTAACCTAAGCAATTAAGCATTAATGAGTGTTTTAACACCTAATATCTTAAAGTCAACTGACTTGGAAGCTATTGGCTCAATGCTTGTTAGATAAGTTGATTAGTACTTAAAAGTGCATTTTTATCAAGGTTTTATATCATCATTTTGCTCTTGAAGTATCAATAACTCCTTAACTAAAATATGTTTTATAATAATGTATCTAATAATATAAGATACCTATAATTTGTGGTAAATGTCTATTTTTAATGCAGGCCTATCACATAAATGAAAGGATTGATTGATGAATTTAAGAACTTAAATTGAAAGGACAAAGAGATGGCGAAACTTCGAAAAGAGATGTCGGTGCAATCCAAACTAGAACACTATTCGGTAATTGGGTCATATCTGGAGCTATAGATCTCAGATTTAGGTCTACTTTATTTAAATGGAAAGGTAAGGCATAGGCCTATAACTTTCATATGGAGCCCAAAATCTAAACAGGCCATTTTCGAGTTCCAAATTGTAGCAACAACAAAGAAGCCCGAATTTGTCCTCTAGCCCGAGCGCTGTTCAGTATTTTGGCCATATCTGGAGTTCTAGAACTCGAAATGAGCTGAATGTTTTACACAAGAAAGCTGAGACAATTGCCTACAACTTTCATGTTTCAAGTGGCTTCAATTTTGACGTTATCAATGATGTTTTGGGCAGACAAGAGAAGATAAGGATTGTCACCAAGTCAAGAGTTGGCCACCCACTCATCAATTAG